CGAACGCCCCAGGTCGAAGACATCTACAAGGTCACACGCCTTTATTACACCAGCGTTGTAGTAGAAAAGCCTTACACCAAGCGCGACATCGTTCAATGCCATAACTGTCAGGCTTATGGCCATACGAAAAGATATTGTCATCACATTCCTAGATGTGTGAGGTGTGGTGAGCAACACAAAACAGAAGAATGTAGGAAGTCTAGAACTTCACCTGCAGTATGCGCCTTATGCCACCAAGGGCACCCTGCCAACTACAAGGGTTGTCAAACATATAAAGAATTAAAAACAAGAATGTACGCAACTCCTAGAGAAGAAGGGACATCCAGGCCACCAAGACAACCCTCTAGAACAGTGAACGGAAGAGTGACCTATGCTCAGATGTTCAAAGGAGACACTATAAACACTCAATCTCAGGCCCTGCCACAAGAACCTCAACCTCGAGAATTCACACATCAACCTCAAGACCCATATCCACCCATCCCTGAACCTAGGTTCAATTCCCAGACATACATTCCTCCTCCTTCCAATTCCACTGACCTCACAAGCCTATTAACTTCTTTCCTCTCTGAATTTAGATCCCTCATCACCCCTCTTATTTCATTACTTACCAATGTTATATCCAACCTCATTCCACCGCCGAGAAATCCATAAATGTCCTCAACCAAATCCCTCTCCATTCTCCTATGGAATGCGAATGGTATTCGAAATCACATCAACGAACTGACAATCTTATTACATGACAAAAACATTGACATAGCACTAATAACTGAAACCCGACTAACCAACAAACGACAAATCAACGTTCCTGGCTACAATATTTATAGAACCGATCATCCTGATGGAACAGCACATGCTGGCACTGCTATAATTATCCACCGATCTCTCTCCCATCATTTATTTCCCTTACCAAACCATAATTTCCTACAATCCACTGCCGTAATAATCCAAACTTCCCTTTACCCAATAACATTAGTTGCGGCATATTCCCCGCCTAAAATACCCATTTCCGAATCCCAAATAATTTCCTTCCTGAATTCCTTAGGACACCATTTCATCCTAGGTGCAGATTTAAATGCAAAACACCAGCAATGGGGAGCCAGATCCACAAATTCCCGAGGGCGAACATTGCTATCTGCACTTAATTCCCATCGCAGCAATATCCTTTCACCTAATACTCCCACATACTGGCCAACAGATCCCAACCGCAATCCCGACCTTCTAGACTTTTTCCTACACAAAGGTCTAGGATCATTACACTGTTCCATTTCAAGGCTTGATGATCTTTCCTCAGACCACAGTCCTATAGTCCTAACCGTTTCCACATCACCCATTCCTAAATCATCCCCTCCTTCATTCATCAGGGGACCAGTTAACTGGAACCTTTTCCGTCAAATATTGGATGATAATATAGACCTCAGAGTTTCCTTAAAAACACCTGAAGACCTTGACGATGCAGTGGACTCCTTCACTACCCTGATCCAGCAAGCAGTTTGGACTGCATCCTCACCTGATCGTCCCAAAAAACACCTCAGTATAAATCCCCTACCCCAAGACCTATTGGACCTTATCCATAGCAAACGATGCTCTAGGGCCCTCTGGCAAAGAACCAGGCATCCTGATGACCGGAAATCGTATAATTATTATTCCAAACAGGTAAAAAAGAAACTGGATATCTTTAGAACCCAATCCTACAATTCCTACCTTTCCTCATTATCATCTAGTGATAACTCCCTCTGGACTGTAACTAAAAAAATCCTTAAATTCCAATCCATTTCCCACCCCCTCCGCCGTGATGATGGTTCCTGGGCTTCGTCAGATGCGAATAGAGCTGAAGAGTTTGCTAAACATCTATCCTACACATTCACTCCTCATCCCGAACTCCATCCAACCCACACTGCTGAAGTTAAAGAATTTCTCTCTTCACCAATTCCTCTCTCTCTACCTCCAAAACCTGTTAACCCCTCTGAGGTAAAATTCCTCATAAACAAATTAAAACCCCGAAAATCCCCTGGATATGATCTCCTCACTTCACAAATCCTCAGACAACTTCCCAAAAAAGCAATCATATTCCTTACCTATCTATACAACTGCATCCTTCGCACAACCAACTTTCCTTTGGTGTGGAAACATTCCATAATCGTGCTGTTTCCAAAACCAGGCAAACCCGTTAATAACACATCATCCTACAGACCGATAAGCTTACTCCCTATCCTCTCAAAAATCTTTGAGAAAATCCTCCTCAAACGCATCCTACCCATACTCGAATCCCACAACATCCCTTCTCATCAATTTGGATTCCGCTCAAGACATTCCACTGTCCAACAAGGCCTTCGTGTTGTGGACCATATATCCTCTGCACTTGAAAACAAGCAATATTGCACTGGTGCCTTTCTGGACGTAGCGCAAGCTTTCGACCGGGTGTGGCACGATGGCTTGCTTTTCAAGCTCAAAACCCATTTACCCCAATCCTTATACCTAGTCCTCAAATCCTATCTCTCAAATCGTTCCTTCCAAGTCCGTTGCTGCACCGAATTCTCCACTTACTATCCAGTTGAGGCTGGTGTTCCACAAGGCAGTGTTTTGGGTCCAGTTCTCTACATCCTTTTCACTGCCGATATCCCTTCAAATCCCGATACCTTCCTAGCTACATTTGCTGATGATACTGCCATTCTATCTTCCCACTCAGATCCTCAAATAGCATCTCTAAACCTACAATCTCACCTCTCCTTGATTGAACAATGGTGCAACAACTGGCGCATCAAAATCAATGAAGCAAAATGCAAACATATTACTTTCACCCTGCGACGCAGATCCTGTCCCACAATCCTTTTCAATTCAATACCACTTCCCTACTCAGATACAGTCCGTTACCTTGGCTTCCTTCTAGACAAAAGACTAACTTGGAACCCACATACAAGACTTAAAAGACAAGAACTTAACCAACGATATGGCCAGCTATATAGACTACTAAGCAGGACATCTCATCTTTCGATTGAAAATAAACTTTTAATCTACAAGACAATACTGAAACCTATCTGGACCTACGGACTTGAACTGTGGGGAACTGCTAAACATTCGAATATCAAACGCATCCAATCCTTCCAGTCCAAAGTACTTAGAACAATAGTCAATGCCCCATATTATGTCACAAATAAGACCCTACACCATGACCTTAACATCCCATTTGTCCTCGACATCATCCCATCCAGATTCTCAAACTTTCACCAGAACCTTATCCATCATCCAAATCCTCTAGCTCAATCCCTATCCAGCTCCCACCATCCCTACAATCCCCCTCGAAGGTTAAAACGGCAGTGGCCGCGAGATCTATTGTAATATGCTTCTGGAGTCCTGGCAATGGCCAGCTTCTCCACTCAAGTCCTGAGCATCTGTGGCTCTAGTGCCCTCCTTCAGCCTCCACTGGCTTTTAATACTAGTGATGCGGCTGGAAAAGTGGCACTGGGATCTCTGGAGTCCTGCTTTGCTTTCCACATGTGGGGAGAGAAGCCTGGCTCGGAGATTCCTGGGCGAATGTATATATTGTATATAGGTATGAATGTGTTTAGAAGTTGTTATTTTATTTTGTTTGTTTATTTATTTATTTTTTTTTTTAATTTTATTTATTAATTTATTTTTTTTTCCTATTGATTTACTTTTTTTTATAAGTATTATTTATTTACTTCTTATATTTATAGTTACTTCTGTATTACTTGTATATACTGTATGAATGAGAACTTCTAGCCTTAATACTTATAGCCCTCCAACAGTGGCTGATTGTATTATTATTCAATAAATAAAAAAAAAAAAAAAAAAAATAAATATTTATTTTCAAAAAGCCAATGTTCCCACAAAAACAAGTTGTCGAACTGTCCCAGAATGGCATCCAAACAAGGCGGTTTGACGACTTTGACTTGAGTTAGTTATTCGGTCACTGAGATTCAGCATTTGGTTTAATTTTATGATAATTGACCTGTTATTAAAACTGGATAGGCAGAGAACAATAAACCATGAAAAAATATTTTAAAATAATTGGCTAAGACAATAAAAAACAACAGTAAAGTCAATTTTTTCAAAATCGAGCATCGTTTGTAATTAAACAGCCAACAATAACCAAAAATGGCCTGAAATAAAAAATCTAGAGAATGCACTTTTCTTTCTAAATCAGTGATTAATTTTTAACTTAAATCCTCAGAAAAGTATACTGGCATTGGCACCTACTGTGTTCTGCCACATCATTCAGTACTCATAAAAGGAATATTTATAGTGCTATAACAATTTCGGTATATTATTTTAATTAATTGTATTAATATATATAAATTAATATATTAATTGTATCAAAGAACAAATATTAACGCAATAAATTAACTGTCCAAAATTTTTTGTACTACTTCACATATTTCTATATTCTAGGACGTTTAAAATAGCCTCTATTGTAAAAATTACGTATTTATAATAATAAAACTTAATTCAGTAATAATTCGCAGTTTAACTTTTTTTTTTATATTGATTCCTAAACAAAGGTTAGTGAAACTTTATGTACTTTCCAGAAATACATGATATTATTATCTGTTTTATAAACTAAAATATACACTTAATCTAAATGGCATATAATGAATAGTTAACAAACTGTTTAGCAAAAATCAGGTACCATTAATTAAAAAATTAATTTCATTCTTTAATTCTTTTTTTGCTTTCTTTATTTTTTCTGAGGTTGGGCCATATCATTAACAATTTTTAAAATCAATGCTTTATTCTCTCTTCACAAAGAAAGATGAATGAGAAGTAGAATGTTCTTCTAAGTATCCGAAAATCATTGGAAGTATAAGAGATATAGGAAAGAATCACTAAAATCTCTGAAAATAAAATAATAATGATGGAAACATTATTTGGTGGAAGGAATATATAGTAGACTGTGGATATAGCCACCAAGACATCCCAACTACAGTTCTACAGATCAGTTAAACAAATACATATGTAATGGCTGCTATAAAAAAACTTACGCTTCTTTTATAATAACACTGTTTTCTATTTGGTTGTTCCAGTTGGGTTGTCTTTGATTATACCATGGCCGCGTATCATCTGCAGGTAAATTATCTTGACTAGATGCAAAATTAAATAAAACTCCCAATATAACCAAACAATGCCTGAAAAAAAATTTAATAAACAGTGAATAAATTCATAGACATTTGATCACAATAACTCTATAGTTAGGCTAACTGAAGAAATTCCAACAGAAAATAAAATTAGCAAAGTAAAATATAGGCTACATAAAATATGTGTAAGAAGGTAACAAGTAACAAAAAGACGTTACCTTCATCTTTCGTTGTTACCTGTTACCTTCTTCCCCTTATTGAATTTATGGTTGGCAAGCAGTTTATATCAGAAAAACATCTAATTGCTCTTTCTTGAATAAATCTAACTAATGTTTTTGCATAAGAATTTTTTTTTTTAAATATTCTGTTAAATAAAAGATATTCATGATTTTTCGAGTTTCAAAAATTTTATTATACCAGCAGCCTTCAAGGTAGTTGTTGTCATAATTAAGAACAGGAAACCCAATCTGCATACAGGCAACATGAAAAAGCTGAATCTTTGAACGCTCTGAGTAACTAGTTACCATTATATTGAAAAATAAAACATTTTAATATTGTGATAAAAGATGTATTTTACAATATTTGTGGCAGATAACTGTATAACAAAGCAAACACAGGATACCATCTTTCAAATAATTATTCAAATAAAATATACATAAAGCAAGATAAAATATCTTATAAATAGTTAACAAAACTTAGAAAACACATAGTTATTTATATTTTTCAGAATGGGGCCGAGGTGGTCGAGTGAGTTACGGCGCCTTCAAGAATTTTATATAAGTGTTCAAATCCCGTTCACGGGAATTAATAACACAAACAAAAATTTTAAATTAATAAATGTAGCCCCTACTCGACTACTTAGAACACTACGGCATGGGTTCGATTCCTGCATGAAGATGGTAATGTTCCCATCCAGAGAATCATAGGGAGATGAGCAGCCCCTGTGTCTTACACCATAGCTCCAGATCCTCCAGGTTGGGGGTTGTATATAGGGCTGGTAATTCCCTTTCCCATAAAAAACTGGGTGGAAGATTGCTGCGAAAGATTGCCAAACAATCTTCAGGAATGTTCCTGATGAAGAGGGATTGTGATTACGTTAGTAAACCACGTGCTCCCTGGATATCTCGAAGAACCAAACAATCACTACTGTCGGCTATAACAGCTCCAAATGCTGCTAAAGAAGACTCATGACAAAAAAGTGGAAGTTAACAGGCATAAGAAAAAAAAAAAAAAAAAAAATATATATATATATATATATTTCAAAATTATCAGTAATTAATACAATAATGAAATAAAAATAACAATTCTTGTGCTTGAACAACTAAAACCAAGGCTTTTACATAGCCAGACTTCCACCTCTTCTCTAATTACCAGTTTTACCCCATTTGTGAACTTATTACCAAATCACCATCACAACATACACAAACTCACACCCCCATACTCCAATTCCACCCACAATCCTTCCTCTACTTCAAACATCCCCACCCCCCAACCCCCCCTATCACACACAAATCACCATCACCAACTCTCCATCCATTCAACCACCAAATCACCCCCACCCACTCACCTCTAATCCCACCAACCACACACTACTACCTAACATAAACCCCCTCAACCACTACCAATACACAATAAAACACCAAAACAACACAATCATCACAATCCCCTCCCACAAAACCCCCCCTCCACAAGCAAAAACACCCCACAAACCACCTCCAACCAACACCCCAACCAATAACAAACACTACATCACCCCAATAACAAACCCCCAAAACATACACCCAACAAAAATTCCCCCCCCCCACTACCTCCCAAACCCACCCTACAATCCCCCCCAACCACCCACCCATTCCAACTACCCAAAACACTCACCACACCCCCAAACCCTCCCCCCCCAATCCATACAATACCACCAACACCCAACCCCCAATCATCAACCCAACCCCCCCTACACAACCTCACAACCACAACACCACCAAACTCACCATAACAGTAACAACCACCCCCCACTAACCACAACCCCACCCACCCATACACCCCCCAACCCACCCCCTCATATCACATCCCTAACATACCTACTCATAACACCCTCCAAATCTACATAATCACCTACAACACCCAACCCCCAACCCCCCACTATCCAAACAACCCCCCAACTATTTACTAACCTCACATACACACCTTCCATTTACCCCCCTAACTATTAACTAACCCCTAATCCCCACAACCCTCCCTCCACCATCATACATCCTTACCTACACCCAACATCCACACATAAATCAACTACACAAACCTTCAACACCCTTAATCACCCACAATCCCCTCACCCAATCACACAGACTCCCCACCCCCTTTACACATACTCAATATCAAACACAACACTCCATCCCCTAACCCAAACACTCCT